AACCAGAAAGAAGATCTAAATAATCTTGATGGCGATGTAAACAGTTGTAGTTGTGAGCAAGTAAATTGCGACGGGCTTGAATCTGATGATAAATGATAAATTGGGCCCTTTTAGTAGTGGGTCTGGATAATTTGAGGCGGTGAATACGGTAGGCAAGTTGTTTAATTTGGGTGTTGAAATAGGTAATGCGGGATTTGTGGTAAGAAGTAAATGGTGCAGTCATCCCTGACCCCCCTGTAAAAATTCCCGGGTAAGAAAATCAGGGAGGGAATTTTGACAACCAGGTATGTAAGTAATATCAAAATCAAAAATACTTAAAATAGCTTGCCAACGAGCAAAAATTTGTTTACTAGCAAGATTTTGAACATCTTTTTCAAGAACATATTTAGCAGATTTGCAATCAACTCGAAGTAAAAATTTTTGATTTAAAATATCATCTTGAAATTTTTGAATACATAAAACAGTAGATAAAATTTCTTTTTTAATAGTACTGTAATTTAATTGTGTTTTATTCCAGACACCAGAATGATATCGAACAATTTGTTCAGAGGATTGAGGAGTAACTTGCTGAAGAAGAATACCACCATAACCAATATCGGACGCATCAGTTTGAATGATTTTGAAGGAATTTTCAGTGGGAATACCAAGACAAGGAAGAGACTTAACATATTGTTTGACTTGTTAAACAATAGAAGTATGAACAGAGGTCCAAGGAGGAGGGTTGTCCTTTAACCGATCAAAGAGAGGTTGACAAGTCTTTCTAAGGTCTTTGTAAAATTCAGCAATGTAATTGAGGGAGTCTAAGAACCTTTGTAATTGGGTTTTATCTAGAATTTCATCAGGGAATTTGGACGCAAACTCAATGGATCTACTAATGGGTAAAATAGTATTATGATGAATATCATATCTTAAGAATCTAACTTTAGTTTGAAATAATTTAATTTTAGGAGCAGAAATAACAAGACCATGACTTTTAATTGTGTAAAAGAATGTAGTTAAATGTTTCCAATGTTCACTAATTGATTTTGAAAAAATTAATATGTCATCAATGTAGACAATTGAAAAATGACTAAATGGGTTGAATATGTCATTCATGATATGTTGAAATTCACTAGGAGCATTTTTTAATCCAAATGGCATGACATTCCATTCATATTGGCCAAAGGGTGTATTAAATGCAGTTTTATATCTATCTTTCGGATGAATTTGAATTTGCCAAAAACCACTTTTCAAATCGAATTTACTGAAAATAACAGCTTGACCAAGTCGTTTAATTAAATCTTTTTTATTAGGAATAGGATATCTAATCCATTCTAAAACATCATTTAACGGTTTGTAATTGATGGCTAATCGAGGGACACCTCGTTCTAATTCAGCATTTTTATTAACATAAAATGCAGAGCAAGACCAAGGTGATTTACTGGGACTAATTATGCGATTTTGTAATAATTCATTAATTTCTTTTTTACACATTTCAAGTAATTCATGATTCATTTGAATGGGTCGAGATTTGGTAGGAATTTGACGTTCATCAAAATTCTTAATATAAGGTAATGTAACTACATGTTTTTTCCTATGCCAAAATGCAGTAGGCAAAAAATCTTTTTTATTAGGAATAGGATATCTAATCCATTCTAAGACATCATTTAACGGTTTGTAATTGATGACTAATCGAGGGACACCTCGTTCTAATTCAGCATTTTTATTAACATAAAACGCAGAGCAAGACCAAGGTGATTTACTGGGACTAATTATGCGATTTTGTAATAATTCATTAATTTCTTTTTTACACATTTCAAGTAATTCATGATTCATTTGAATGGGTCGAGATTTGGTAGGAATTTGACGTTCATCAAAATTCTTAATATAAGGTAATGTAACTACATGTTTTTTCCTATGCCAAAATGCAGTAGGCAAAGTAGAACAAACAGTTGATTCAAGTTTTAATTGGAAATCATTGATTTGAGAAATAAGAACTGGATCAGTTAATTGTTGATCAATACGTTTATGATTTATTTCTTCTTTAAGAAATTTTAAATGCCTAGCCAAGCGGCTAATTTGATGAGAAATAGAACAATCTTTTAATTGATTTAATTGTAATAGTTCAGGAGGAGATAAAAATTTAAACGTAACAGGTTGACCTAAAACATGTGTAGTTATTCCCGTACGAGACGTAGTAAATGGATATAATAAATATATAAATGGGGAACCTAAAATAATTTTATCAGTCATATTTGTGACTAAAACAAAAGAGGTTTTAAAACATACATTATCTTGGCAGACATGGACTTTAGGTCATTTATATTTGATATGCATTCGAGTACCATTAGCAGAAGTTAATTTTTCTTGACATTTTTCATAATATGTAGTAGGAAGTAAACCTTCTTGTATACAGTTTAAATCAGCACCAGTATCAATCAAAGCGATTAATTCTAATTCAAAATCGTTAACAATTATTTTAATTTTAGAATACCATTTTTGAATGTAAAGTTTATTAATGAGGCTTAATCTTTTTTCTTCAGGATTGTTAGATTGTGATCGGTTGTCAAATATTAAATTATCAGGATTAGTGGGATTAGAATCAGATTCAGATTCATTGGGAGATTCGTGATTATTATTCTGGAAATTATCTAAACTTTTATTAAGTTTTAAAGTAATAATTTCGTCTTCTAATTTTGTATCTTTTTGTTGTAACTCTTTGATTGTTTGTTTAATCTGATTGATTTCTTGTTGTAAATCTTGTAATGTAATTTCTTTTTGTTTATTTTTAAATCTTTCTAAAGTTTTGGATAGACTGATTATAGGTTTATCAAACTTTGGTTTGGTATCGGAATGGATTAATAAGGATTTTAGCTTATCAGTATATTTTTGTTTTAATTTTGGATCATCTAATTTACTAATCAGGTCAATAAGAGCAGATTCTTCTTGAGTGTTTTTGGTAAGAACAGTAATTTGTTTAACTGGTTTACAACAAACATCATTACATCCTATATTAATATTGGTATCAGAATCATCACTAGGTGAATGGTAATCAGATGAAATATCAGGATGATCAGAGGAAGAGGAACTAGTAGTAGATGAAGATTGATTTAACTGAAAAATTTCATATAGTTGAGTTTTGGAGGTATCATCAATATTCCATTCGTATAATTTTTTGGCAGAAATAGAAAATTGATTATTAAGATTGGTTTCTTCGAATTGGAGATCAGGTGGAGTAGGTCGTGAATACCAGTTTTTGGTAGTTTGAGGATTAACTTTGGGATAATGGATTTTTTGCAGTTTGGAAGCTTGAAATTGTGGGGCTAATTCATTGATGTCATTATCAGTAGTGTCAGTTTCAGTTTGATCGAAAACAGTATTATTAATAGGTTGTTGATTTAAAACAGTAACAGCTTTATCTTTGGAGGTAGAAGTATCATTGGGAGTTAATTTAGTAAATAAGTGTTCAATGGCTTGGACAGTAGATTGATCATTCGTAACTAAGCTAGTTCGTTTGGAACGATGACTAGGAAGATTAAGCAATGGTTGATCTAAGGGTTTAATAGTTTTTGCCGAGTGGCCATCTAAATTAGTTTCTAATTTATCTAATTGTTTGCCAATGGTTTTGAGGCATTGATTAGTATAATTATTTTGTTCAATAACTTTTTTAATTTCAGGATCAGTACCAGGTAATTTAAAGGGAGAGGCTGGAACTTCAGAACCTTGGTGATCGATAATTATATTTTCTAACGGAGGATGATTAGAGCTAACAGAAGTATTAGGAGAAGTTTTCCATTTATATTTTGTGATTGTGTTAATCTTTTTGTAATATTGATCCATATAATCAAAGAAAGATAATTCAAAACCATATTGAAGCATAAAATCATACAATTTTCGAGTTATGCGGGATTGTTGAGCAGAATCATACGATAAGCATGCCGTTTAGGGCTATTTTCTTTGGATCTAAAATCAATAAGTAATTTATCTAAATCAGGAGTAAAATCTTTTTTGATTGTCATTAGTTGGGGATTCACTGGTTGTATAAATTCTTCAAAATCAGTTTGAGTTGGAGAAGTATTTGAAGCAATATCTTCTTCGGGTAAATGTGTGGGAGTAGTATAAACAGGTTTACTAATCTGGGAAGTGGTAGAGTTATCTATTCCTTTTAATTTATTTTGGGAAGTTTGAGTAGTTTGACCAAGATGGATTTGACTATTTTTTCGAAATAAATGAGTGTTAAATATTTCATCTTCAGTTGTAAGTTCAGTAGGGATACTAGAAGTACTATGCCTAGAGGATTGACTTCTATTAAATTTTATACGGACAGAACCATCATTGTATTGTTGAATATCGTGAATATCTTGTAAAGAGGATTGTTGTTGATTATATTTGTAATTTTCCTTGACAGTAATCCATTGTTCAGGTAAATTAATATCTTTCCATTCAATAATGGTATTCTAAAATTAAAATAATTGTTAACGATTTTGAGTTAGAATTAATCGCTTTGATTGATACTGGTGCTGATTTAAACTGTATACAAGAAGGTTTACTTCCTACTACATATTATGAAAAATGTCAAGAAAAATTAACTTCTGCTAATGGTACTCGAATGCATATCAAATATAAATTAATTTAAAATATAAATAAATTAATTTTAAAATTCATTAAATTAAAAAAAATAAACATATTAAATACAGAAATAATATGTATTCTAAATATTTTATCAAATTTTTCAGATGAGCGAGACTCACACAAATTCATATGTGTGGATTCTACAACTATGTGAAAATTTTAATAATATATTTAAAATTTCTAAGATAGCTCTATTAAATAATTTAATAGTGGACCAAATTCAACTACTTTTATGGTCTTGGTCAGGGTAGAATCCCAAGTCATGTAAAAGTATGATTTTTCGAATTTGCAATTAACACGACGTGTCGGTTCTCTTCTTAAAGTTAAAAACCAAACCACCATTTCACACTAAACCGCAAACCTGTCTACATCAAACACAAACTCTGAATAAATAAATATATATTTAAAAAAAATATATTTTCTTGATCAAAACCATACAAACACTATTCAATTCGATCAACAAATCAATTCCCCAAATTATCCTTCTGAGATTTCTAGGGTTTCTGGTTTCATCTCTCTCTCTCTCTCCCCCCTGCTGCGATTCGTCAATCATCGATTTTGGGATTTTTCACATCTTGACTTCTCGGTTCATCGTCTCCGCAATCTGCACAACAAAGGTTCTTTCTTTTGCTCTCTAGTCTTCTCCAAATTGTTCGATGGCTTCATCTTTTTGAACATTGATGATATGCTATTTATTTGTCCAATTCTTGATATATAGGCTAATTGTATAATGGATGTGAATGAATCTTTTCGCTTGATTTCAGGTGATAGTAGGATAGGATACATTTAAAATTGGAGTACAGGATTGAATGGGGTGAACCTTTTGATTTTCTTTGAATTTGGGTTTTTGGGTTTGGGTTTGGATAGATTTGATCAGTTGTTTGGAGTGTGATGTGATTATGAGGAAGAAGAGGAAAGGGAGTGATATTTTATACCCAAATCAAGACCAGGGAATTTTAGAATCAACCAGTGATTCGCGATCACAGTTATCGAATTTAAAGTCCCATTATTCTTTGGAAGATTATGCAAGATTGAGGAAGAGGTGCAAGGAAGATGTGGTGGGTAATGAGCATGTTGGGTCATGTACAAATAGGCTTGTGGGTATTGCTGCCACAGCTCCACCTTGTGGAACCTCATCATTGGTTTTACCAGGAAGGGGCTTGAAGAGGAAGATTGGGTGTATTGATGTGGCCACTCAAACGGGCAGGAAGAATAAGATTGAGGATGATTATATTGTAGGTACTACAATTGGAAAAGGGAAGTTTGGGTCAGTTTGGCTGTGTCAGAGTAGGGCTACCGGAGTGGAATTCGCTTGTAAGACTCTGTGTAAGGGGGAGGAGACAGTTCACCGTGAGGTGGAGATTATGCAGCATTTGTCTGGCCATCCGGGTGTTGTAACATTGGAGGCAGTGTATGAGGATTCAGAATGTTTTCATCTTGTGATGGAGTTGTGTTCGGGCGGACGGTTGATTGATCAGATGATCAAGGAGGTTCAATATTCTGAACATCGGGCTGCTAATATATTCAAGGAATTAATGCTGGTGATTAAGTATTGTCATGAGATGGGAGTTGTACACAGGGATATAAAGCCTGAGAATATTCTTCTCACAACTTCAGGGAAGATAAAGCTTGCAGATTTTGGTTTAGCCATGAGGGTTGCAAATGGTAAACATCTGACACCGCCCTTCTATAATGTTGTGTTATTTTTCTTGTCCTTGTAATCTCAAAACTGCCGCGGTTTTCAGCACCAATAGTGGAGGTGAACATGGTGTTTTTTTGTTTCTTTACTCATTTTGGTGGGACTTAAGGGTTGGTTTGGTTTCTTTACTCATTTTGTATACAGTTAGTTTGATATTTTTAGGGGGTTATTGTCATGCTATCTTGTTTTAAGTTTAGCTACTTACTGCATCAAGGTGATTTTTTAGAAATTCCAATTAGGAAAATGTGTTAGCAGTTGTTGGAGCCTGTAATTGGAAGTTTATTTGTGGATAATAAGCTACCAGTCGAAATTGTGGTGTAGAAAACCTTGTATATGGTCCAAGGGTTTCATGTTTTAACAATGGTGAGTGTGTAGTTGTGATGTTTGGTCTAGGTTTGGCTACAGCTCCTAGGTATATGCTGACCTCTTCTTACCAACCAAAGTGAGAATAGCAAGGTCACAAGATCTTCAATCGAATTTCATTATGGTCCTATAGCTGTATTATTGCCTTTCTGTGTCTGCAATTACATACCATTATGTTATGCTTTGAAAAGGTGCGAAAGTAAGTTACCTGCTTGTACAAATAATTGAGACCTAGACGTCCAATGGCCTGATTAACTTTGCTACTCTTATTTAGAATTGTTGAATGGTTGCTTAATGGAGTTATGTACATTGCTGAACCTCTACTTGGTTAATGCTCAAATGGATCAATCATATCGTAGGTTACCTGGAAAAACAACCATTCAACAAGTTTGTTACCTGTTTTCCAGACTCTATGAATACTGTACCCATTGTTAGCATAGTTTTTCTGTCCATTCCCTAACTTAATAATTTTTCCTATGGTCTTCTAGTTCAATTAGAGGTTGTTAGGTTAATATTGGTAATTAAGATGGAAGGCTGGAAGCAGAAAAAGGACTTTCTTGTTTGCTTACACATGACTGTGTTGTTTGCTTACACATAACACTGGCACAAATACGTTGTTAGTGATTTTTAGGGACAAATAAAACTATTCATCCCTTTTTCCTAATCCTTTGTTTCACTCTTCCGGAATACTTGGAACCTTTTTGACCACCATGAAGTGCTTCAAATTTCCTAACTTCTTTTGTTTCATAACTTCTTCACCATTGGGAAAATGCATAAGATTACTCTAGATTCTGTTATTTGGAGGATTTCAGCATTACAAAGTTACAGTTAAGCTAAAGTAATCTGCAAAAGATGACTCCAGATTCTGCTATGCCTCCACAGAAGCCTCAGAAGTCAGAACCACGCATCAGCCACCATCACTATTCCTAAACCTTCACCTTCTGCACAGAAAGGATTTAATAATGACAGAATTGAAATTAGTTGGTCCTGCTTGCATGAGGCTTCCAAAATTCAAAGCCGTGTAAACCAGAATAGTTTCACTAGGAAACTAAATTTTGCTAAGCTTTAAAAGCCAGAAAGTGTTAGCCACAGAGGATAGCCTGGCTGCCTTTTCATCGCTGTGGCAGCCATCATTGTCTTTTGGTGAGTCAAAAACATGTCCAAGCTGCAGAATGCACAAACCTAAGTTTTTTTAAAGGGACATTGTGACGCTAACTGCTAATTAAAGAGTGACCCCCCTCCCCCTTTTCTGGAAACTGCAAGGGTCTTTTCTTATGCCTAATGTTGTAAAATTGAGTGTTTGTGATTAATGGAATTTTGCATCTAAAAGTTTGATGTCTTTGTGGTGCAACTATTGTGTGAAATATTAAAATTTGAACGTTATTCTGAATTGTCAGTTTTGTTTGATTATTTGTTATGCTGTATATGTATATAGGCTATAATTTATTTAACAATTTATTGTATGTGTCATGGTTGGGTATACCTTTTATATAAGAAAAAAAAAAATTTGTTCCTGTATGGGCTTTATTTAATGTGCTCTGTTTATCATGGTCATATTTTGCAATATTGGTGGTGTTTGGGAAGTTTGTGGGATGGGTTTTTTTTTATTTTTTACACTAAAAGACAAACTTTTTGCAAAATCAAAAAAAACAAACCCAAACAAAATATCACATCCAACCCCATAATCATTTCATTTTTTCTCTCACAAACATCACATCCAACTACAAAAAAACCCAACTATCTTCCCAAATATCAAAAAAAATTTATCCAATAATATCCTACAACTAAAAAAACCTGCATAAAAACTACTTCCCAAGCACCCACATTGTAAGTCTCCTTTTGAGTTTTCTAGTCTTTGTTTATACTCGATACTATGTGATTGTTAAAACTGTAAGACATTTTGAACAACTGATGTTTTGCCTTTAAAGGACAGAAATCGCCTGTTTTTGTTGGAATTATGATAAATCCACTCTAATGGACTTGGATTTTATTTTCTTATCTTTATAGCTTGTCTTTTGTTATTGCTTTTCATTCTTGCTTATGAAACAATGCAATTACTTCATTGTAGGTCAGAGATTGACTGGTTTAGCTGGGAGCCCCGCTTATGTTGCCCCAGAAGTTCTGTTAGGCAATTATTCAGAGAAAGTCGATATTTGGAGTGCCGGTATCCTGCTATATGCTCTCTTGACTGGTGTTCTTCCCTTTCAAGGAGACTCATTAGAAGCGGTTTTTGAGGCAATCAAGAATGTGAAGCTAGATTTCCACAGTGGGATATGGGAGTCTGTATCTAAACCTGCACGGAATCTGATTGAACGCATTCTTACAAGGGATGTTGCAACAAGGATAACAGCGGAGGAAGTGCTAAGTAAGCTTTCTATGCTGGTCAAATTTCTCAAGGGTTTTTTTAATTCTTGACTTTGGTTTCTAAGACTCCATTCAGTATTAGGAAAAGAAAGTATAGGAAAATCAACTTTCCCTTTTTAGTTTTTCCATGTTCATTTAGTGAGAAAGTTGTGGGACTCATATTTTTAATTTTCCCTCTAGGATATGTTTTTTCTCAAAACATGTTTTGCAAAAAATGCAAGAAACTCAACAATACACTTTCCTTTTCCTGACAAATGAACATGGGAAAAGAAGTTCTCTTTTTCTTTACTCCACTTTACTACATTTTTCTTGGAAACAACTTCGTCACACAAATTCCCAAGAACTGAACGGAGAATAAGGTACACAATCTGCTTTTATCCCATGTTACTATTGCTTCATAATCAAGCAAAGATCTGGGAATCAATGACAATAACTTTTGCAGTTGTTATCACTTCACGCTTTTATAAAAATATACTCCATAATTTATATTCTAATATGCATTGAGAATCGTGTTATGAATAATTTTGAACACTATAGATAAATTTTAGAATGTATTTATAATGAAGTTGAATAGGAAGAACAAATTTTCCTCTCTATTTCCACTAGGTTCAATTTGTAAAACCCCAAAATTTGGATACAATTTATTGTTTAAAAAAAAAAAATGGATAAAATTCTACAATTGCTTTTAAAAAAAAAAATCAAATTTCTTGAAGCCATAGCTCCGCCTATGCCATTCACCAGTTAGCTTTTTTAGCATACCATTTTTTAATAATATGCTGATCATGAGCTGTTACAAATTCTGAGTAGCTAAATCTTGAATTTGTTTGTAAATTTACTAGATCTTTCTCACTCAATTCACGTTCTTTCAGGCCATCCATGGATCTTGTTCTACACTGAGCGCACATTAAGGACACTATCTATCAAATCAAAATCAAAATCTCACTCAGCACCACCTTCCCAGCTATTAGCCACAACCAGACTGGACAACAATGAATGTAGGACACTCTATGGTTCTATCAGCAAGGGTGCAAGTCCAGCGTCATTGCCCGGAAGTTTCGATTGCAAGACAGAAGAGCACGATGACTGTGGTTTGGTCGATGCACTTGCGGTAGCGATTTCAAATGTGAGGATTTCTGAACCAAAGAGGAGCAGGATTTGCGTTCCAACGAGCCCTATACGTGAGCAGTGTTCATCTAACATGAAGGCTAACAATCTCTGCAAAGCGTTTTGATTTTGACACATAGATAGCTTACCAACCAACTTCACTGCCATTTTCCCTCCTCACCCCTCTTTTTGAATGGGGATCCGAATTAACCTGACCTGCTGGCAAGCATGTTACCAGTAACAAAATGGTGGCCCTAGAATTTAAGGATTGAGACTGAGAATTGTCAGAGTGCTTGTTTGATGTAACATTAGTTCTTATTGACCTGGCAATGCCCCTAACCTGATACTAACGAATAAACTGATGTACAGGCTATGTAAATAGTGTTGGTGATTATATCACCAGTTTGTTGCATTGCTATATTTAAATACCATGCTTCCCTACATCATGGACCTCTCTCTCTCTCTCTCTCTCTCTCTCTGGTTTAATTGTGAGTCCCAAATTTGGCATCTGTAATGAGCAAAACCTGATGGACATGGAGCGTGGTCTCAAAGTGTGTTCACCCAAAACAGGAAGTCGTGTAGCTCAATCAAATACATCATATGTATCTCAGCATTTTGCTTGTACGTTTGTCCAGGCTGTTCTTTCCTTTCTTTCTTTGCTCCCACACTACTTCATGGGCATTTTTCCAGCAATGGAAGGGAGTACTTGTGTCTTTAACAATTCTAAACACCCCAAAATTATTGAGAATGTGACCACCAATAAACACCCCAAATTATTGAGAATGTGACCACCAAACGCGGGGGTTTCGGCAACTTTCCTCCGTCTCAAAGACCTCAGGTTTGCTGAAGGGGGAATTACTTGTCAGTGGGATAAGAGTAAAGAATTGTCAAAACATGAGGATGCAAGTTACCCCTCCATGTTTGTGTATATTTTTTTCATGTCTCACTGTAAAGTAATTCCTCCTTTGTAATTCCTCCTTTGCTGAAACTGCTATGAAAAACACTTTGTTTATGCCACACTCTGATGGAGTATCCAACTTTTGTCCGACACTATGACTACTTTTGGCATGAATTTGGCGCAATAGTCCTTTTTGTCAGCCAATCCATGAAGGATGGGCGTGTAAAACCAACAAAGTGGGATCACCAAGCCAACATTGGAGATGAGAAATTTAAAAATACGTCGAGCCTTACTGCTTCGAGAAGGTGGTTACGATGTGCATGATTTAAGGATGGATGGAGAAGAAGAAACTGTTCTTGAATTTTGCTGAGATGCATACTGCTAGGGAGTTTGTGGTTTGAACCCAGCGGGCAGAGGGAAAAGGAGGCGTTCCAATAGTAAGAATAACTATGCTAATGAGTAAATAAGGGAAACGAAAGTTCATAAAACAGCAATAAGACTCGAACCTGTGCATAACACCTGGTAAGGGAGTGCTCATCTACCCAACCAACCACCGAGTCTTCAGCAATTCCAATCAGTGACAACACTTGTATTGACATATATTTAAAAAGTAAAGGGATTTTGTGACAAATGCTAGTTGTGCAAACCTCAGGAAAAAATGTCCCAAGAAATTGCAATTCTAGAAGAAATTTGACCAGCATAAAAAGCTTAGTAAGTCTGCTCTTATCCTTGCCACAACATCCCTTGTGAGTATATGCCCAAACAAATCTTGCATCAATCCAGATATATAGACTACATGTCCCTGTTTGACAAAGTTTAACATTCTTGATTGCCTCAAAAACAGCTTCCAACAAAAAAACTAAAGAAAGCCAATCAAGTGAAATCCCTGACAATCAAATATGGATGGAACTATAATTTCACTAACAAAACTAATTACTCACAAGATAGACCGTCTCATATTTCACACGCAATTAACACCTTTTTCCCCGCAGCTAGAATTTTTTGTACATTTCAGAAGTAAAAACTGGGAAAACAAGAACCATGCTTTTCAAAGATGCCATCACAATGTATACGACGATACGTCCATGGGGATAGTTCTATAAAGAAACTGGAATTAGATCTTCCAAGAAGTTTAGTTGGCCTTCATTCAAAAAGATTCTTGGCATGGCAAGGCTGCTGCAGGATTGCAAACCTCATCTTCGAGAGAATTTGGACCAGAAGTAGACCACAGTAAAACAGAGAAGTGCAAAAAGAACCACATGGATAACATGGTTTGACCCCTGCTGGATGATACTCTTGTTCAATCTCCTCATGTTGTTCTTCACCCCAGCTTGAGCTTTTATCAGTGTCATTTGCTGTTACATACAAGAAAATATATATAGTTTTTTCAGAAAGAATTATGAACACAGAATAGAATATAAACAAGAAGCACTGTTCAATTAAACTTCAATCTCATAAATAAAGACAATCAGCCAACCAAATTAACTATTATTTTTCAATAACTTTTGGGAGAGATTCTTTTTTTTTTTTTTTTGATAAATACTATTGGGAGAGATTCTTCATTGTCCCAAAATGCAATTGGTGCCTTTCTTAGCATTATAAAATACCAGAAGCCCCCCTTTTTTTATTCTTTTTTAATATGAACATATAGAAGGCACAATATGATTTATAATATTATATGACTCACCACAAGCACCCATTACAAGATTCTTAGGTCATCGTGATACATAATGGTTCTAAACCATTTAATTAATTAATTATTTGGTGAATAAACAGGAGCTTTTAGTGTCCACTCGGTCTCCTTTTCAAATTGTCAGCATAATTTTGACAGACAGTTTTTACACCAAACCGTAGAACCCTCCATTTTCTTATTGTCTCCCCACCTACCTATTTCTTTCTCCTACTCCCTAATTTTTTTCACACATACCTGCACTCACAATGTAAGTGCCATCCTTCCAATTCATGAGAAAGCTGGTGCGAAATGTAATCTAGCTTGAGCAAAGACTCCACTCCCACCTATATATCTCTTCAATTGGCCCATCAAATGTTGAGTTGATTACAAACTCAGTACAAGATATAAGATGTCCATCAATGACCCAAAGTGTTCTCAACCATTCTAAGGCAAGGGCACTTTCAATATTTAATAGCTCCAATCGTCAAAGCAAGGGAAACTGGTGTAAGAGATGTCCCTCTCTTTTACAATTTGAAGTTGAAAGTTGAATCACAATGTGCAGAGTATAAATCTTAAATCTTGACATTGAGAAGAAGTTTAATTGCTGATTACCAAGTAATGGTTAATTCCTGATTATTTTTGTCCTTTTCCCTTTACTCTTCCCATTTCACAAGCCCATATTAACTCTATCTAGCATTCATAATTTATACAGCTAACTTCACAAAAGTAATTAACTATAAAAAGAACAGCGATTGGTAATCACAAAAGAAGTGGTTAGTTGCATAAAAGTCATAAATCAAGGTATCCTATTCCAGCAAGTGTTTAAGCTAGCAATGAGAGAAGATAAAACATTTCTCACACAAAGGGTTTTAAAGTTGATGATATACCAGCTGATTGAGAAAGTCATTCTGAAACTTTGCCTCTGATTCTATCTCTTGAGCTACCTGCAGTGCCATGCTTGAATAAGAGCTCACAAAACAGATTGATAAGAAGCAAAATTTAGACCAGTGGAGGCTGTGTGGCAACTACATGTCACTGATAACACAGAAGCACGGACATGACACCCAACATGACATAGACACGATGATATAATTTTTTTTTAAAAATGCAGGACATGCTAAATATATATTTTCATACATTTTTTATATGTCATATATATATGTGGATATGTTATTCAAAGATAATTAAAAATACGACATAACACTAATTCTTGAAATTTAAAAGAAGGATTAATATGTATAAATCTACATTGTTTTTATTTCATCATTAAATTCCAAGTTATTTTGTTCAAAATTGTATTATGTTTTGTGTATGCCTAAGTGATAGACGTGTCATCCTGACTCTTTGAATCATGTCTTGGTTAAAAAAAAAATTTAAAATAATAGGACATGTTTGTACGTTAGTGTCTGACAAGTGTTGGTGTTTGATACAAACACGGAACCTTTTTAGAAGTGCTTGTGCTTCTTAGGCATTAAATCCATAAGCATACATAAACTGAGGGGTAAGACGATGCTGTAAATGGTCCCAAAGGAGTAGCCCACAAAACAGGTATATGAAAAGAATGTAGTATGAACATGCATTCAAAGATCCAAAATCTAACAACCTATTTGATCATACTCAATCCAACCAGTAATGCTTGCTTGCATGACTAATAAGTCCCAAATATTCATGCGTTGATATCAAACAGTGATAATCACGGTAATGGGTAATGAAATATTTCATAATCCATATTCATCAATAAATTATAGACCCAATAATAGTTTACAAGCCAAATGTTTTCAACAAATCTCTCAAAAGAATTTAAAAAATTATAAAAAAAATGAACATGAATGATAGCACACCATGATGCCAACAACGAAAGAAGCACAATACAAATTTTACATGAGCATGATTGGAAACTTATTTACACAGTCAGTCCCAAGCCTGGAGAAACAATAAGGGTTCTGATAGATTGACAACTAACACGAACTAATAGTCACAACTTTGTGAACATCAATACTTTAAATTCTTCAGTTAGGGAGTTTCCTGCTTGTGCTGTGCTGCATCAAAGTCTGGATGTTGTGATAATAACAAAATTTGGTGTCATTTCATCCATACTGCTCTAATTATGTGCCACATCCTCTTTGATTTCTCTATTTTTTATGATTAAATGATCCAATACATAAAAATGGTTACTGTTAAATATCTCTCGTCCATCAAGGTTTACTGTCTTCATATATATTTCTAATTTTTTCAAAGCTACACCATATATTTTGTTTTAGTTTTAATTAACTTAAAACTATAGATTCTAAAATCTCTCTCCATAATTTTAGCTGAAATGTTACTTCTCTATTTTCGTCACTAAAATTATATCATCTACAACATCATACACTGCAGATATCCTCTTGAATGTTTCTAGTAAATTCATCCATAACTAATACAAAAAGAAAAGCACATAATGCTCTTTCTTCTTGATGTAAACCTATTCAGCTTGTGTGGTTTTAGTTTTCAAAAAACACTTTTCAGAAAATTCTACTTTTATTTCCGTATTTTTTTGTTTTCAATGAATTTTTTTAATATTTTAAGCATTTTTTTTATTTTTATTTTTAGACACACCTAACATAAATACACTTAAAAAGTATAATATTTGTGAAAATTTTTTTTAAAAAATTCACTAAATATCAAAAATACAAAAATTCAGTATACTTTTCGTATTTTTGTGTATTTATTAATTTTGATAAATATTTTAATATTTAGATACATCTAAGTAAGGTACATCTAAAAAAGTTTTAAAAAAAAATTACTTAAAATTTTAAAAATATTCACTAAAAACAAAAAAACACGAAAAATAAAAACTCAATTTTCATAAAACTGAAATCAAACACACTGATTGTTATTGAAAATTTATTTATTCTCTCCCTAACTATTCTCACACTTGTCATGGCCCCATATGTCTTTAATTACATTAATATATCTAATTGAAAGAAGTGGATCAATGTAGTTTGTCCCGAGTGAATGGGATATAACCTTGTTGAGCTGAGTTCAGTTATGATTGGGACCTTGTGTAATCAAGACTTTGTTTAGTTTCTGCCTTATTTTATACTTTATATAGGTAGCTTGCTCCCGGTATAATACTACATATATTTTCTTATGCCTTAAAGTTGATAATATATTGATAATTTCAGAAATTCAATTGATTTGGTCTGTAGTCTCAATCAATAGCTCATAGTTTGGGTCCAGATATGGCATATGGAACTTACATAAGTTTTATAGTTGGTGGAGAATAATCCTAGATATAGAACAAGTATAACAACCCATAAAATTCTGCCCATTTTTTCAATTAGACATACAAAGGGTCAGGAAGTTCAAGATAGACTATGTGCAATCTTACCCCATGGGCTGAAATCTAACAATTTCAGTCGACTCATAGATCATCTTTTGCTATTTAAAACCCCCACGAGTATAAGAGCTCTGGCCAACTAGGCTAGCTCCATTGGTTGATTTTCTTTCACTATCTCCACATGGAACTAGCTATTCTACTCACAACCAGCATTTAACCTCCTTAATTTCGATCCTACCCTCCTCCGTAACTTTTCAGCCTTTTTAACATTTTGGGTAATTAGGTGCAGTCCATAATTTTCAGCAAACAAGTCTATAACCTAAACCTAACCAGAATTAACAACAAATATCAACAAAAGTCCCGTCTTGGAAATCTGGGTCATCCCAACGAAACAACATTAGCAAAGCATGCCACCATCCAATAGAGAATTTCAATACGTATCAATCATCAAGATTAAAAGAAAGGAGGATTTCGGTTTTGGAGAGCAAACACTTACGTTTCTTAGTAGTCTAACTTGTTTGTGGAGACCGGTAATCTCATCATCCAAGTCGCCATGCATTGGATCAATCCGCAATTGGATTTCATCAGAATTACCGACTTGTCTCGTGCTAAGCCCTTCTCTGCATTCACAAAGAAGCAAAACAACAAATAAAAAATAAATAATAAATAAAAATTAACATTTCTGATGAACGAAAGAATAAAATAGAAATAAAGTCTCAAATCATAATTTTCTTCTTCTAAATTCTCGAGAATCAAACAGAAAAGAAATCAAAATAGCGAATACATCAATCGATAATAAATGGATACCTCGATCTGTAGGGAGCAGCGCCATAGAAACCACCGCCTCTATGCGAACTGGACGCCATTGGAGACGAAGAATTTTTGAGATTTCAAATCAGAGTTGAGCGATGGTGACTGAAACAAAACCCTAGAACGACGAACCGTGTTGAATCGTCCTAGTCATCAATTCCGCAAAGAGTAGAGATAGCAGAGATGGCTGTGCTGTGGGACAGCTCCGGTGTTGGATTTAGCAATCGGACGGTTGTCCACTGGCTGTCTTCTGCAATTTTACAACGCCAGAGAGGTAATTAGCAGCACCGGTCCGGATCTGTCAGGGTCTCACAGGTGGCACCTGAACATTGGTACAATGACTGAACAAACATGTAATGCAACGTAATTTCAAATGGACGGTTACCATTTAAACACGAGTCTAATAATTTTCGACGAGGAGCATGTTGGGTTTATCGTGGATTATATGTTGATGATTCAAATTATTTAACATGTGATATTTATTGAGTATTTTATTTATATTGGTCAGATATTGAAAATTATTTGATGGGAGTTTTTTTGATAAATTCATTTTCTAAGAGCTTTATTTCATCAAATCCATATTCTTTTTTACTATTTCATTAGGTCCAATTTGAGATAAGAAGACCAAAATACCATTTTCATCAACTTATGTTCCATTTAGTTCACATTATTTTTTTATATTTCAATAAGTCCTATGGGTAACATAATTACCAAAATACCCCTAATGTGAATGTTCACACCGTAAATGTGTAGGGGCCCGGCCCATGTCGATCCTCGTGGGTGCCCAGAAAAATTCGAGTCGGGCCGGGCCGGCCCACAGGCCAAAAAAATAGGCTCAGCCCAGCTCGTTGATAATGTGAATATTCACATTGACAAATTAACATTCACATTGATAGGAGTGTAAAATTGGCTCGCGGCCCGTGGGCAGCCCGAAACCCGCTCGTTGCCCAGGGTGGGGCGGGCTGTAAATATTCATATTTTAACATTCACATTGGCAAGAATGTAAAATTGGCCCGTGGTCCGTGGGCGGTCCGAAGCTCGCCCCCGAGCCCGAAGCCCGGGCCGGGCCCCGCCCGTTGACAATATGAATATTCACATTAACATGTTAACATTCACATTGATAGGAGTGTAAAATTAGCCCGCGGCCTGTGGCCGGCCCGAAACCCGCCTACAGCTCATGGGCTGCCTTGGGAGGGCCCGGCCCGACCCGTTGATAATGTGAATATTCACATTGATAAGAGTATAAAATTAACCCGCGCCCTGTGACTGCACGAAACCAGCCCACGGCCCGGGGCGGGCCCAGCCCAGCCTGTTGACAATGTGAATATTCACATTGACATGTTAACATTCACATTGATAAGAGTGTAACATTGACTCGCACTCCATGGGTGGCCCAAAGCCCGTGGGCGGCCCGGGGCGAGCCCGGCCCAGCCCGTTGACAATGTGAATATTCACATTGACATATTAACATTCACATTGATAGGAGTGTAAAATTGGCCCGTGGCCTGTGGCCCGTGGACGGCCCGAAGCCCGTCCGTTGCCCAGGGCGGGCCCGGCCCGGCCCGTTGACAATGTGAATATTCACATTGACATATTAACATTAACATTGATAACAGTGTAAAATTGGCCCGTGACCCATGGGCGGCCCGAAGCCTGGCCCCGGGCCGGGTTGACAACGTGAATATTCACATTGATATGTTAACATTCACATTGATAAGAGTGTAACATTAACCCGTGCCCCGTGGCTACCCGAAACCCACCCACGGCCCGTGGGCGGCCCGAGGCGGGCCTGGCCCGACCTGTTGACAATGTGAATATTCACATTGACATGTTAACATTCACATTGATAAGAGTTGTCAATGTGAATATTCACATTGTCAACGGGTCGCGCCATGGGCCGCAGGCGGGTTTCGCGCCGCCATGGGACGGGAACCAATTTTACACTCTTATCAATGTGAATGTTAATATGTCAATGTGAATATTCACATTGTCAACGGGTCGCGCCATGGGCCGCAGGCGGGTTTCGCGCCGCCATGGGACGGGAACCAATTTTACACTCTTATCAATGTGAATGTTAATATGTCAATGTGAATATTCACATTGTCAACGGGTCGCGCCATGGGCCGCAGGCGGGTTTCGCGCCGCCATGGGACGGGAACCAATTTTACACTCTTATCAATGTGAATGTTAATATGTCAATGTGAATATTCACATTGTCAACGGGTCGCGCCATGGGCCGCAGGCGGGTTTCGCGCCGCCATGGGACGGGAACCAATTTTACACTCTTATCAATGTGAATGTTAATATGTCAATGTGAATATTCACATTGTCAACGGGTCGCGCCATGGGCCGCAGGCGGGTTTCGCGCCGCCATGGGACGGGAACCAATTTTACACTCTTATCAATGTGAATGTTAATATGTCAATGTGAATATTCACATTGTTAACGGGCCGGGCCGGGCCGGGCTTTTGGCCGCCCATGGGCCGAGGCCAATTTTATACTCTTATCAATGTGAATGTTAACATGTCAATGTGAATATTCACATTGTCAACGGGTCGCGCCATGGGCCGCAGGCGGGTTTCGCGCCGCCATGGGACGGGAACCAATTTTACACTCTTATCAATGTGAATGTTAACATATCAATGTGAATATTCACATTGTCAACCGGCCGGGCCGAGCCCGCCCCGGGCCGTGGGCGGGTTTCGGGCAGCCACGAGACGCGGGCTAATTTTACACTCCTATCAATGTGAATGTTAACATGTCAATGTGAATATTCACATTGTCAACGGACCGGGCCGGGCCCTCTCCGTGCCGCGGGTGGGCTTTTAGCCGCCCATGGGCCGTGGGCCAATTTTATACTCTTATCAATGTGAAAGTTAACATGTCAATGTGAATATTCACATTGTCAATGGGCCGTCCCGGGCCGCTCGTGGGCCGCGAGCGGGTTGCAAGCCACCACGGGACGCGGGCTAATTTTACACTCCTATTAATGTGAATGTTAACATATCAATGTGAATATTCACATTGTCAACGGGCCGGGCCCGCCCCGGCTCCCGGGCGGGTTTCGGGCCGCCCACGGGCCAATTTTACATTCCTACTAATGTGAATTTTAAAATATGAATGTTCACATCATTAAATTGCTAATCGTTAAAAAAAATATTTATAAGGGTATCAAAATTGAATATAAGGGCATAAGTGTCCAAGGAAATAGTGTAAATCAAGAAAATGGACTTTATGGAATAAAACTATACATATATGGGACTAAATGGGTTAAAAAATTCTTTCATGGACTTCTTGGGTTAAAACACTTCTAAATTGGACTTATCAATAAAAATCCCTTATTTGATTGAGTCAAATTTTTATCAATAGCGAAATATAATTATTAAAATAAATTATTGACAAAAATCTAATATGATTAAATAATTATCGATATTCGATTAATTTGATTTTTTTACAAAAATAAAATACTTAATAAGTTTCATATATTGAACGATTCGAATTATCGAGATAAAGCTCTTCACAGGCTTAGCACTTCGAATTAAGTAAACTTGAAACAAGCTTAGCACTTCGAATAAATTATTGGAAAATGCATGAGACCCCCAGTGGGGGTACTGGGGGTCTCTCCTGATTGGTCCAAAAAAATTGTTTTTTTTTTTTTTTTTTTTTCATCCATTGGTGGAGGTAGGGGTGTTGGGGGTCCTTCCCTGCTGAGGGTCTCCAGCAGGGCCGTAAATTATTCTAGCCCTTGTTATATTTGCCTACTTTTTCATTTTACTACACTTTTCGTTCAAAAATATTAATTAATTATATGTTATCTCAAAATATTTTTTTTTATAAAAAAATCAAAGATTTAATTAATATTTTTTAAATGTAATAATTATACTACCAAAGAGTAGCTTTGGAAAATTAATATTTTTAAAATATAATAATTATAGGGAAAATTAGTCTTAGGTCCCTCTCCTATTTTTAATAATGAAAGAAATCTATAATATTATTTTATGATGTCTAAGGTCCCTCAATCCCAAACCCATATATCATAGAGAAATTTGTGTCTTCTGAATGTTGCTTCATTTGCTTCTACTGCCCATTTGTATGTATGTATAGAGAGAGAGAGAGAGAGAGAGAGAGAGATTAGGGTTTCTTCTACGAAGGAATTTGACTAATCAGGTCACCGGCGACATGGTGGTCGACATTGGCAGCAACATCAGTTGTGAGAAAAAGAGAATAAGATGAGAGAGAGAGACCTCTGTTTGGCCATCAAATAGAACTCGACAGAGCGGAACTCACACTCACCGTCACCGTTGTTGTCACAGGTATGGCATTCCATCAACACCAATTGAGATCTGGCTGGAAAGTCAAGATCTTGTCCAGATATTGTTCAGATCACGCAGGATCTCCTCATCAAATTCAAATACAATGTGATTTTGCTGAAGAGGTTTGGAGGGGGAGCTGGGTTGTGTAATCTGTGGGAATGGGAAAGAAATTGCAACTTTGTTGATTGTTGTTTGAGGTGCCACTTAACTCCTCACTCTCCCAGTAGTTCACATTGATGGATAGTGGATATGTAATTCAAGCCATTGCTGCCAATGAAAATCTCTCTTGTTGTTACTATATTGAATAGGATGAAAATAAGAGTGTAAAGATGTCAAAACTTGTGCTACATTTTCTCTGATTGTGATAATTGTTTGTGAATTTTCTTTGGCTTGAGAGAATTTCTCTAGTTTGAACTTAGAGAAATTTCAATTTTCTCTGGTTTGAACCCAGAGAAATTCTCTGTTCAAATTTCTCCGGTAGGTCTTTCTTGTTCAAATTTCTCTGGTATTGGATTTTTTCTGCATTAGCGATTTTTTCAACAAAATCGAAATTTCTGTAGAGAGAAACAGAGAATTTCTCTGGGTTTGGAATTTACTTTTTAACTACAAATTGATTGTTCTTATTGCATTTATGGTTCTGACTTTGAATATTCTCTACATTAGCGATTTTTTCAACAAAATCGAAAATTTTCTCTTTGGAGCCAATATGTGAACCATGGAACACATTTTGGCCGAGGTTTATGATTTTCAACCAGAAAATATTGTGAGGGGGAATTTCTTTGGATTAGAAAAAGATATTTTCTTTGGTTTGAGTGATTTTCTCTGTGGTGGAGGTGAGATTTTCTCTGGTTTTGAAGAATTTCTTTGCGCTGATGTGAATTTCTCTAGTGAGATTTTCTCTGTGAATTTTATTCAAGTTGGAATTTCAAAAATTAACAATTTTGTTCAAGTTTGGAGATAATGAGAGTGGTGATTGTTTACTCAAAGATTCTAGGGGTTTATGCAAATTGTATGTGAATTTTCTATGGAT